CTCTCTGCCTCTCTATCTCACTGTCCCCATCTCCTGCACACATACAGACATGAATCCACATACTTGTTCTCCCACCCCAACACATGCATATATGCATGTGCCCAGCGAATTTTCTTCACGGATTCCCTAATGCTCACATGCGGGCCCCAAATTTAAAAATTATGTTCAGAAACAATCATTTTCCAGAAAGCAAAAATTTTTTCCTTTAGTTTTGTCATAATGTTTCTTAACTCTCGTGGCTTAAGTGTGTTTCCACTTAGCAACTGAAGAAAACAACAAAATAGAAATATTTTATTAGCATGTGTCCCTCATGGTCCCACCAGGGAGAACATCCCCTTGCCACACAGATGAGGATAAACTCTGCATGGTCTGATTCAGTTGGACACTGTTCCATTTGATCAAAACTGGACTGTGGTGCTGGGATCACTCATCTGACCCTGATTTTGTTGTTCTTGTTGATCGTGTGTGTGTGTGTGTGTGTGTGTGTGTGTGTCACTGTTCATGCTTTGTGTCTTACCTCAAGATCTGATTAACCTCTGCAGTCTTCCATGAATTTATAATTTGATACCTTTAATTTCTGCTGTACCATTTCTCCTCTCAACAATTTAACTTAAAAAAAAATACTAGGGAAGGAGCAAGTACATTTTAAAGACAGCCTTCACTTTACAAAGTTATTGACTAATGCCCTTCAAATTTTAGTTTGTTAACAGTGTATTCAAAATACTATTTTCTTTATAAAAGTCAAGTGCACTCTGTATTGCAAATATAACAACTCCCTTCTATAGCTTTTGTGTGTTGATGTCTCTTCATATGTGTTAAAGAAATGAATCCTCACAGCAGGCTGGTTAATAAGTACACCAGGGACAGTGGTTGAAGCGCACGTGACAACTGCGTTCATTCATGGGGGAAGATAGCCTTCTGGGTTCCGGATAGTGGCCTGCTGTGGTGGTCTTTTCTGATCTCTGGTGCTAATACTGCGTGGTCCTTTTGCTGTCCCCAGATGTTGATGAATGTCTGGAGCACAATGTGCGCTGTGGGCCGAATCGCATGTGTTTCAACATGAGAGGAAGCTACCAGTGCATTGACACGCCCTGCCCTCCCAACTACCAACGGGACGCTGTCTTAGGGTATGTGCTGCCTGCTCATCCCAGACATGTTTCTGAAAATCCTTTACTCTCTCCCTGATCATCCTCAACCCCGTCTGAGTCATGTTTAACTCATAGGAAGTCAGTGGTGCCAAAGGGATGCGGGGTTTCAGTGTGTTCTGCCTCAATAAATGGGCAAGAAATGCGCTCATCCCACAGCAGCCACAAGTGAGGCAGTCACTTTGGCTGCCAAGGTTTCCAGAGTCGCTTCCCAGCAGAGTCACCAGGTGCCATCTGAAATTGGACCTCTGCAGCGCATGTGTCATTGGGTGATGGAATCTGCCTTTCTCTGAAGTTTTGTGGTTCTCATTTGTGCTGTCTTGGGACTGTAAGTGCTGTCAGCCTGTAGACAACCAAGAGGACCCTTTTCTGCCCTCGGGGTGACTCACCACACTGGGAGAGGATGCAGACGAGCAAGGGTGTGTCAGTAGTCTGCCCACTGGTGGTGTCTTGCTTAAATTTCCTGCTGTCTGAAACAGTATTTTCTGGGCTGTGAATAAACTCTTCTCTTCCTCCCTACCCTTTCAGAAGGGTTCTGACCTGTCCAGATTCCAAGGGGACAGATGCTTGAGAGCAGTGATAGTGTTCCTCCCCATTAGTCCCTGCCAATACCCAGGAGTTTCTGACACCAAGCACTCAGTGGCGCTCCCACTCTATTTTCCTCTTGGTGATGCCCACCAAGGTACCATAATGTGGCCAGTGTGAGTTGCTCAGCAGCCTCCGAAGGCCATTTGTTATGGGAATAAGAAAAGGAAGGAGAAAATTTAAAATATGAACTTGTGAAATATCTAAACGTACTATGCCCAAGGAATCCATATATCCTGAAATGGTCTTCTATGCATTTTTTTCCTCTTGATTTCTGGGAAATAATTCAAAAAGCAGTTGATGTGAGCTCTGGAAAAGGAAAACATAGGTTTTAATCTAAAATAATACAGCAGATAACTGCAGCTGAAGGAAGTCCCCCGTGGGACTCATAACTGATCTTTTATTACTTTTAGAAATACAAGACAAATACCAATATATCCCATTATAGCTTTCAAACAGTATTAGATGTCTTAATTTTAAAATGTATCCCTGTCTTTTAAAAGTGCATTTTTCAATATATTTAGAGACATTTATATTTCTAAAACTGATTTTTCATTTTCTTGAGGGGGAGGATGTAGCTCAGTGGTAGAGTATGCACTTATCCTAAGCCAGGCCCTGGTTTAATCTCAAGAAAAGAAAGAAACTACTCTTACAGTGTTCGTGCTTACTTCAAGAGCTCAAATAGTTCTGAATTTAATGGAGCAAAGACATAGACACACTTATGCTCTTAGCCATCTGCCATCTGGTTTGAGTTAATGATGTAAAACATGGGGTGAGTCTCGTTGCTCTTGCAGTCAGACTGTCTCCTCCACATAAATATGCCTAAAAGTTGTCGTGGATCATGACCACCTGCACCATGCATTCTCCTGCCTCCAAGCTATATAATTACGTACATTTCATGTGTTTACTTTCCTAGGTTCTGCCTCAAGAACTGTCCACCCAATGATTTGGAATGTGCCTTGAGCCCATATGCTTTGGAATATAAACTTGTCTCCCTCCCATTTGGAATAGCTGCCAATCAAGATCTAATCCGGCTGGTTGCATACACGCAGGATGGAGTGATGCACCCCAGGACAACTTTCCTCATGGTTGAAGAGGAGCAGACTGTTCCTTTTGCCTTACGGGATGAAAACCTGAAAGGAGTAGTGTACACTACACGGCCACTTCGAGAGCCAGAGACCTACCGAATGAGAGTTCGAGCCTTATCCTACAGTGCCAGTGGTTCCATTGAATATCAGACCACTTTCATAGTTTATATAGCTGTGTCCGCCTATCCATACTGAGATGTTCTCCAAAGCCTCTCTGACATGTTTAAACAGCCTTGATCATACAGTCAAGTTCCTTCTTGGTTACTATCTCTTGAACAGTTGCAATCTTGGCAACGTGAAAATGGTGCTATACTCTACTCTATGCTTCTTAGTACTGTTGAGTTAGTGTTATGATCCCATTGTGGACACAGGAAGGTCTAGAGAACTCCTTTATTTTATTTATTACACTGGAGCAGTTACTTCCCAAAGATTATTCCGAATGTCTAACAAGACATATCAGTAATGTTTTATAATAGTGCCATAGCTAAGATCATTTTCCTGAAAATAAAACAAAAAACAATTAATGCAAAGTCAAGTAGGTTTTTGAGCATTTGATAAATTTTAGAATATTAAAATTAGTTGCTTTGTTTATCAATGAAAGCTTATAAAATAATTTAGGAAGTTTTTTTAAGCATTGATACTTTGTAATAAGACTTACACAGCTATTTTCTTTTTAAGGGAAAAAGAAATACCATTGTTTTGGAAACATGATACAGCTACTCAGTCTGTATGTTTCCCAATGGTGCTCATGTTGACTAAATATTCAAACCAAGGGTAATCTTATTAGTGATTCTGTGAAATCATCTGAACCACCACTGACAAAAACAGAAATGATTTTCTCCAAAGATGCGTTCTGTGGCATGGATCTCAGCACTCACACTTACATGATATAACCTTCTACTCAGTTAGCTCCATAACTCTTATAGTTCATAATTTTTAAAGATTTTTTATCTTTCATGGAAAACAATTCTTTAAAACAGTAATAGGATAGGTTTCTTTGTGATTTAAAAAAATCTCAGATATTCAAATTAACTTGTTAATAAACGTCAATACACTGTGCATGGTGGTAACAGACTCTGTAAGCAATTGTCAAGATGTATTCTATTTTTATGAAGTGTATATATATTACCTTAGTATGTATTTTCTATATTAATATCTTCATGAACTCTTGTAAAGTTATTTTATAAAAAATTCCAGTATTACAATAAAATCAACCTTAATAAAATTTTCACATTCTTTTTCTTAAGCTTTTTAAGGATTTAAAATGTCTTTCTTTACCATTATCATAGTTATTAAAGGTTAAAGTCTATCTTGGTTACTTTTCTCATTGCTAAGACAAAATATTCGACACCCAAAATTAAGGAAGGAAGGTTCATTGAGCTCACAGTTTGTGGAGGTTTCAGTCCATAATCAGCTGGCTCCAAGGCAGAGTAGCATATGAAAGAGAGCAACAGTTCTCAGTGGCAGAAAACAGCAAAAACTTGTTTCCAAGCAAGAGGAAGGTAGGCCTTTTTCTGGCCCTTATATTATACGCAGACTACCTGCCCATAGGTAGGTGTAACACACCCTGGTCCCAGCATTGGACCTTAAATGAATTGCAAACTATATTCAGCCACTTCCAAAGAAAAGCCTAAGACAAGACTGCATGATGCTTTTGGTAGACATCTAGACACAACATCCTAACCCTCCTTAAACTGAGTAGTTTTAGACATGGAAACTTAAGCAACTTTCTTAAGACAACACAAGTTAGTGGAAGAACTGGTGTCCTTACTATCTTTTATGACTCTGAATCAAATATCTTCACTGAATGACAGTTTCTTCATCCTCAAAAATACTTTTCTCTTTTAAAATTAGATTATTGGGGACTGGGGAGATAGCTCAGTAGTTTAAGTACCTGCCTGTCAAGTACAAGGACCTGGTTTCGATCCCTGGTACTGTATACTATGCTGCGTGCTGGCCACCAAAACTGGGTGTGGTGGTGCACACCTGGAATCCAAGTGCTTTGGAGGCTGAGGCAGGAGGATAACAATGAATCTGAGCTGTGTAGCAAGACCTTGTACCAAATAAATAAGTGAGTTTTTTTGTTTTCTTTTGTTTTAATATTTTTATTGAGAAACAAATAGCAATGAGACAGTTTCACAACCAATTACTAGTATATTTTCAATAATACATTGCATATTGTCGTCTTAGTGGTTATTCATTGTACAAGATGCAGACCTGATATCCTGTCTCAAACACTATTAGAACAAATCTTCCTATACATTGAATTAAGTAAAGTAGCTGTATATCTATCCTAACTATTTTGAATATACTGATACAAAATGGTTGTTCATTTGTATCCCCCCTTTTTGGATTAGTTTTGTCAGAGAAGAGCATTCCATTGTCATTTACATACTGTAGGTGCATGAATTCAGCAAAATATTCCAATATAGTCCAATAGTCAATAATAGTAGTGGGTTTTCCATAAGACTGGCAATGTCCAAAGTTGTTGACCTGACCATTTTATAGTTCATCATATTAATATGGTTTTACTTTTTATATTTCATTTTCATACTTTTCTGCTGGATCATTAAGATCAAAAAAGAGCAAGACCTATATAACAAGAAATATAACTTTTTTATCTAATAAGTTCAGTCAAATCCCCTCAGGATTTAACCTGAAACCATGTAGCGCAGTTTGTAGATCCTTTGTCAGTGTCAACCATGTGGATGAGTTGCAGCCATTGCTTGACCAATTTGTTCTCTGCGAAAGCTTGAGAGAACGTTTTCTCTCCATGTGACTCTCCTTAGGCACACTCCACATCATCAATCACTTTCCTCTGTGGCCCCAAAATCTCCTTGATCAGAAAACTTGTGACACAATTGAGTTATAAGATGTTACATGTCCTGAGTCCTGAGTCTTTACTGACTATGTAAGACTAGGGGCAAAATGTTGGCAGTCCTTGTAGCCCTTCTTTTTCTTTAATTATTAGTCTGTAAACTTAAGTTGTTGACCCTTCAAAATAGGAGCTTAATGATATTATTACCTATAACATAGGCAGTTGAGCTTGACCTCACTATCTGTCTGAATATTAAACATCTCAGGCATCAATGGAATAGGTATTTTCCATCAAGTATTGATATGTTAAACTTCAAGTCCCTCCAGAATATGAAGAAATAAGATTTAAAAGATAAAAAACATATTTTAAAAAATAAGAATAAGTATTCACATATTTTTACAAAGAAATTTAGAAATCTAACAATATACAACCTTGTAGCAGGACAGTCCTATGACTTTTTTGTCTCATGTTTTCATTTATTATCCTTTTTTAAAACACAAACCTTTACTTGAGAGACAGTATGGCTGTAATTGGTATGTCATGACAAACAGTACATAATTAGAAGACAGGAATGACAGGCATTCCAAGCATGACCCTACCATTACACATTGCTATCTTCAGTGCAGTTGCTTTGTTCACAGGTATAAGCATATATAGTCATGGGGAGAGACCTACCAATTAACTGCTATTTTCAAAAACATGCTCAAGATTCTCAGGACCATTGCCTTTCCCTTCCTGTGCATATAAATGTATGACTTTGCCCCTGTCATGTTTTCTAGCTTTTCTCCTTGCCCTCTCTTCATTACCTAATCCTCAAGTTCTCACTTTCCTTTTAATTGTGTTATGCCTTTCTATTTTTATTTCTTTCTTTGAGGTCTTATACTAGGGAAACTATAAAACATTTACACGTATGGGTCTAGTTTATTTCACTTATATCTTCAAGTGACATCCACTTATATACAAAGGCTTTGAGTTTATCATATTTATAGCTAAGTAGTACTCCATTGTATAAAAATACCATATCTTTTTCATCCATTCCTCAGCTGATGGGCATCTTGGTTGTTTACAAGATCTGGCTATCACAAATTGTGTGACTATAGATGATGGTACACATATATCATTATGATTTGACATTTTCAGTTCCTCTGGGAAAATTTCCAGTAGGGGGATAGCTGGCTTGAATGGGATTTCCAGTCCTAGTTTTTAAAGGAGTCTCCAAACTGATTTTCATAATGGTTACACCATTCTACATTGCCACCAACAGTGGAGAACGGTTCCTTTTTCCCCACAGCCTCTCCAACATTTGTTGTTGGGTGATTTTTGTATTGTAGCCATCCTTTCTGAGGTGAGATGGTATCTCAGTGTTGTTTTGATTTGCATTTCACAGATGGCTAGTGATGTGCAGCATTTTTTCATATGTTTATTTGCTTCTTTAATTTGGTCCTCTGAGAAGTGTGTATACATCTCAGCTGTCCATTTCTGGATTGGGTTTTTTAATTTAGGGGCCCTAATGTTCTTTAGTTCTTTATAAATTCTAGAGAGCATGCCT